CCCCCTACCTGGGGGGGCCCCCCCGAGCACCCCCCCCCAACCGCCGGCACAGCCCCGAGACCTTCGGGGGGCCCGAGGGGGGCGCGGGGGGGGCCGAGCCCGACGGGCAGCCCCCTACCTGGGGGGGCCCCCCCGAGCACCCCCCCCCAACCGCCGGCACAGCCCCGAGACCTTCGGGGGGCCCGAGGGGGGCGCGGGGGGGGCCGAGCCCGACGGGCAGATGCAGCTGGTGACCAGCCTGTGAGACCCCCGGGAGGGGCGCCACGCGGGACCCTCCCTCCTGCGGGGGGTCGGGGGCGCGCGGGGGGCGCGGGGTCACCGCGGGACACCCCCTTGCCAGGGGGTCCGGCCTTGAACGGGGACGCAGCCTGGGGGGACACGGGGGACCGGGCTCGCACGGGGACCCTCCCTCGCTCGAGGCTCCGGGGTCGCACGGGGGGTCTGGCCCCGAGCAAAGACCCCTCCTCGCAGGAGGGTCCGGCCTCGCACGGGGGTCCGGCCCCCGGCCGCAACCCCCTCGCACGAGGTCTCGTCCTCACGGGGAGGGGTGGCCTCGCACGAGGGTCCGGTGGCACTCAAGGACCCCCGCCCTGCACGAGGAGGCAGCACCGAGCAACGAGCCGGCCTTGCACGAGGACATGGCCGCCGCCAGAGGGGACAGCCAGTCCCAGGGCCCGGCCTTGCACGAGGAGCCACGGGGGCACCAGGCCGCGGTGGCACCAGGCCGCGGTGTCACGGTGTCCCACAAGGAGCTGCGGTGGCACCAGGCCGCGGTGTCACACGAAGAGCTGCGGTGTCACACGAGGAGCCGCGGCAGCACCAGGCCACGGTGGCACCAGGCCGCAGTGTCCCACGAGGAACTGCGGTGGCACCAGGCCATGGTGTCACACCAGGAGCTGCGGTGGCACCAGGCCACGGTGTCACACCAGGAGCCGCCATGGCACCAGGCCGCGGTGGCACCAGGCCGCGGTGTCGCACGAGGAGCCGCCATGGCACCAGGCCGCAGTGTTGCACGAGGAGCCGCCATGGCACCAGGCCACGGTGTCACACCAGGAGCCGCCATGGCACCAGGCCGCGGTGGCACCAGGCCGCGGTGTCGCACGAAGACCTGGCTTTGCGCAAGGGCCTTGCACAAGGATCCATCATCTGGCGCCACACGCGGGGACCTCGCCCAAGGATCCACCCCGTGTCACCCGAGGATCCACCCGGCGCCACACGCGGGGACCTTGCTTGGGGACCTCGCTCGGCCGTGCCCCCCTCACAGCAGGACCTCGCACCAGGACTTTGCCCCCGGACCTTGCACGGGACCCCCCCCTCGTGCCCCCGCCCCGGCGTGGGGGCGTTTTGGGAGGGTCCCTCAGCCACATTCTGAGGGCCCCCCCAAAAGCCATCCCAGGGGGGCCCCCGTGGCCTCGGCAGCACCGAGCCGGGGGGGTGAGGCACTAACACCCCCCCAAACTGAGGTGTCCCCCCACAGCAGGGACCCCCCCGAAACGGGGACCCCCCCACAAAGAGACACATTTTCCTTGTAATATAGATGTAAATGGACCA